AATTTTATTTTGTTCTGATACTTTTGATTTTTGCACTAACTGACTTTTAAAATGATATTTGAACAAAATTTGACCAGAGAGAGGGTATAATTTCTCAGTAGAAGAAAATAAAACAGGAATGAATATAATATTCGGCTATTATTTGACCTTACGGTAGAAAACAAATTGAATTGGTCGTCATTTTAATCTTTTTTCATTTCCTAATGTTTTTCTTAACTGTAAGAAATAAAAATTTCCACCGAGATAGAATAAACTGTGCACCTATACCAGCTGGACAACGATTATTCGAATTAGAATTCTTTTAATGCATTTCAAGGCATTTTCATGCATCAAATAATTTATCCAATAAAAAAAATCAAATTAATTTTAAAAAAAATGCTTTCCGCCGAGATTTTGCTCACAAACTTTAGCTTAGAAAATTTCAAAAATGAACGTTTGTAAATTTTGTAACACATCCAGAATATTCTGTAAATAAGTATTTAAAAAAAAATAATAATAAATTAATCAAATTTACAGACAACTGTTTCTGCATACTTTTCATCATCAGACAAAGTGATTTTTTTTGAAGGTGCTGAATTCTTTAAAATTTTCTGCTCACAGTAGCATAGTACCATTTTTTTTCCTCGCTAAAACTACATTCTTTCTAAATTTTCAAACAAATCACTGATGAATTGAGTGTTATCGCAACACAAAGTTTTGATGGAAAAACAAAAAAGGATGGAAAAATTTCAGGAAATGATAAATGATCAGCATTTTATATGCATGCACAAAGAAATGCAATAATCACAATCATATAATCTTTCCGGCAAATATCTTTGTGATCACGAATGTGTATGTTGGCTTACTATGATTATAATCGGTCAGCATCTTCAACTGGTTTATTCCTCTCTCATTTTAATCATTCATTTGAAAGTAATTCTTCCTCTTTCTCGTTCCTTCTACTCATTCAAATCTTTCCCGTGTTTCACTTTTCCGATAATTTCAATAATTTCGTTTTCACTATTATTATTATTATTACTCTTATGATTGCCAGATAAACTAAATGTCAACATCATCATTGGTGATTATTATCTGCATTATTGGAAATATTATCACATCACCATCTTAATTTACTGTTGCTATTAATACATTAATTAACAGAAAAAAGCCTAGCCAAGAATAGGAATGAATTATGCTAACAGATAATTTGGCTTAGTGTGATTCATTACTGTTTACTATTTTTACTATTACTACAATTAATTTAGGTATTAGTATGCTACTTTTTTAAGTATGAATATTTATAACAGTTTAATCGCTTTTCTTCTTCTCATTAATCTAATTTAGTAAGCTTTTTTCTGGTAGCCGAACAAAAATATGTCCCATCATGATAAGATTAATTATAATCTTACTATTTCATATCATTTATATTAAAATCGACGATAAGATAAAGTAACAGTATTAATTAGTTTGATCCATCATTTAATAACACGTGATCTCATCTAATAAAACAAAAAACGAAAAAATTGAGTGAGATAAATTACCAGTGAATAAAATCACGAATGTAATTCGAAGAAAAATGTCATGTACTATAAGAAAAAAAGTAAAATTGGATGAAAGAATGAAAATAAAAGATAAATATATAAATAAAAAAACTTTATTTAGGTAATGTAATCTGATGAGCAAACTAATCCTCCTCTGTAATCATTTAAAGTTTACTTCTGGTTTCTATAAGGAAGTAAACTAGATGATAAAGATGTGAATATTGTTGACGGACAAATACTGTCATTATAGTGACCCATTACATCCATCCCAAGAATTGTTCCGAAAAACTAATCTAATGCCACTCTTACAAGTAATTCTTTCCATCCTTTTTTTTCTCTCCTCAAACAGAAAGAAATAGAGCACTGCAATTATCATCTCTTTTTCTCTCTCCCTCTCTCTCTCTCATTATTCCGTTTTTTTTTCTGTTTTTCCCTTTTTCTCATTTTACAAAAACTATTATAATTCTGACACCATTTTTATACAACGGAATTATCCATTTCATGTTTTTTAAACATTCTCTCTTTTCTTCTCTCACTTTCAAATCATATTATTAACCTGTCTGTTCTACTCTAATCTGCTCAATTGACCGTTATTCAATTTAACCAGTAAACAAATCTCTTATTTCCCGAGTGATCGAATGAAAGGAAAAAAAAAGCAGAAGATTCGAAGATTGAAATCAATGGAACTGACTGAATTACTTACATTGAAATGATCGAAATCCGTTCTCAACAAGATCAGGATGAACGCATATGCAAGAATTTCACATCATAGACAGGTTTTTTTTTTCTTTTCAAACAACGCATTCATTTCAAGAATTTATCAGGTACTCATTTCTAGAAACATACTTTTACATACTCCCATAAAATGGAAAGATTATAATTTCACGCTTTATTATTTCATTCATTATATCAGTTAAATGATATAAATTCAGTCAATTAATACAGATGTAAAAATGCGTATTTAAAATACTGTTAGGAATTAAATGTACACATACAGTGTGCATATACAGTATACATATACAGTATACACATACAATAACGATACCTCCAATATTCATTCCAATGAAAATGACTTTCCGCACATTACAAATGTAATCTCTCTCTCTCAAAAAAAAAAAATGGTATGCATGCATACATATTAAAAAAGGGAAATTGTTACAATTTTCGGATTAATTTTTCGTGAAGTTTATGAATTGTGAAATATGTGTGTATTATGTATTAAAAACAAAAAAGAAAACGAAGATTGTTTTACATGAAAATAAAAATTTGAACGAGTGAATAAAGTGGAGGAAAATTTTTTGAAAAAATGAGACAACTCGGAGAGAGGGCAAGGGTTGAAGAGAAACACGAGCAGTGAATTTGGGAGAGGACATTTTGCTCTTTAGTTCTCAACTCTCAGCACTTCAAGGCCGAACATTTTCAAAGAATAAATTAATTAGAGAAAATGCCGAAAAATGAAATATGATTATCAAACCCTTTCCATATTGTACTTTCAATTTAGCTAGGATATTGAATTGAGAATTTAATGTCATTGGAGTCCTAGTGGTTCAATTTTTTACTAGCTAGTTGTTTCATTTTTATGTTTAGCATTACTCTTGAAAAGATTGATATTTCTAGTGTTCCTTGAAATAAATAAAATTTATCTTTCTTCAGGTCTGAATTACTGCTATATATGCTAATTCAGCCGCACTTACAATAATAAACCTTCCAACAATTGATCAATTTAGTTAGGATAAGAATTAAGAATTTGATTTCATTGGAATCCTAATGGTTCAGTTTCTTAACAGCAGTTATTTTCTTCTTTCCCCTGCTTCACTTCTTATCAGTTAATCCGTTAAATGATACACACGTCATCGTGTTTACAATTTTATCATTCTGGTTGGGATCGACGAATTATAAGTCTCGTGTTTTACGTACAATTTTTTGCAATTATTTACTTAATCTTATCAACACGACATCATAAATAACTAAAGATGAGCACATGATGACAACAGAAACATTAAGGGAAAAGAACAGTAAGTATTCACGTACAGTAAATAAGGCACTTTTATAAACAAACCGGATAGTTTCTAGTAATTTTTGTTATTTATTTTTCGAAAAATCCAGAAATTTCAGAGCAAAATGTATTGTGATATTCAAACTAATCATTTCAATATGAATGTTAATTATCGTGGTTAGTGATATGGCGTATCACTTTTAAGATATACAAATAACGATCAATACATCCAATCAAAATATCTCCAGAATGTCGAGGATTGAAATATTCCAAATAATGTAAAATGGCAATAATGAAAGAGTAAAATTTTCATTTTTTTTCTGCAACAGCTTTTCGATAAAACTCGTTTCTCAATAATCATTTCAAATAGAGAAAAACAAGAAGAATTAGAGTTGGGGATATTTTGTTACATGGAAACACACTGTCATGCAAAAATCACAGTCGAACTTTCACCGGTCAATTCTCGATGTGCACCCAATAGGTGCATGTGTATCGAAAAAAAAACACCACAGATATCGGAAAAAAAAGTGATTCAATTTCCGTAACGAAAGACATTACGAACAACGATAGTTACAACGTATAAATGAAAAATGAAACGCGAGAGAGGACGAGAATAAAGAACGGAGAAAATGGACAAATATACAGGGTGATGATACAGTAGGGTAACACATGCAAAATGAATATCACAGTAATGGAGTGAAAAATTACACATCAGTGACCTCATCATTGCTGCTTACAAGTACTGTTTTATCGGTTCCTTCTTTTAGCATTCGCTTTGGTGGTAATGGCACATTTGGCCTTAGATCTGAATGAGGTGCTGAAAAAAAAAACGATAAGTTAAAATAAATATAAAAGTACCATAATAAACTTGTCTTATTCTTATCTAATAAATGTATAATTTTTCTTAAAAAGTTAATTTAATTAAAATGAAAAAGAGTAAAGTATTTATGATTATTTAGAAATGTAAAAGAAAAGTGTCACCAATAACAGAAGACGAAGGTTCAGGTTTCATGTCAATGGAAGTAAATGAATGCGTCCGCGATGTACCATTGCCATTTGTTATTTCAGTAAGTGATGATGCTATTACGGAAGAGGATCGTATCGATTGAGTATCGGATGATTCTTCCATCTCGTATACAGGATTTGAAAATGTTGTCGATGAAGCTACCGTATTCGTTTGTAACTGTACCATACCGTATTCCACTGGTGTTGCGTCACTCTATAACAACAAAGTAAGTGAATGCATCAGAATACGAATAAAAAAAAAATAAAAATCTGAACTTACTGGTTTAGGATCAAGTACCGGATTGCTAAATGAGATAACGTTCCCATGAAATGAAACAGCTCCATCGGCAGCTTCATTTTTTTTAAAGAGTAATAGACGTTTCCTGTAAAGGTTCGTCCCAACCAAAGCCATTAGCGCAACACAGGCTAACAGAGAAACGAAGAGCAATGCTGCCAATAAAGCATTCGAACCAAATCGGCCAATTAACTAGAAATTAAATAAATTTTGTTTTTATTTCGTTAAATTAATTTCGAAATTGAACAACGTCTGGTCCAATTTTCATCAAAACATCATTAACGTGTGCAAAAGAAAGAAAAAAATTTAATTTGACAATGTTGCCATTTCATCAGTCATTATCAGAAAATTACACTCAATATCGACGATGAGATTTGAAAAATGGTCAAAATACACAATCACTGTTCACTTCTTTTTTTTCCGGAAACGTAAAAACAGACAAACCTGTCGAGATACAGTAGAACCTTTTTGGCATTTCTCTCCTTCAAAATCACCACAATCACAATAACCATCTAGCTGGCATATACCACCATTTTGACATTCACATTGCTTTGGAATTGGCAACTCATCCATTCTGATACCAGCACATGAACCATCCTAAAATAGATATTCATAATTAAACTGCTTGAGAGAATACAGAGCAAAAAAACTGATCGTTGAATGAATAATTAAATAATTAAAATTATTAAGCAATGTATGGAATTAATACTTGCACTTTCCATAACTTCATTATCATAAAAAATACCAATGGAAAAAAAGCTTTTTAAATTCTGAAAATTTAAAATAAAAAACAAAAGCTGAAAAAGCCTGATATAAATTTCATAAAAAATCAAAAAGCATAGGGAGCTTGCATTGAGAAAAAAAATCAAAATGCATAGACAAGATATTCATGATAAAACATTAATAGCTATTTAAAAAAAGCATTTTTCTTCTTACAAATATCACTTCTTAAAATACTAATATCATTTACTAAACTACTCTTCCATCCTTCTCTTAGTGAAAAAAAAATTCGAACTTCATTAGAAATGATATTATTCATAGTTCATTTACCAATACATTCTAAGCCATCAATAGCTTAGTTGTTTCCACGTTTCAAAAAAACAAAAAACAGCGGGCGTCAGATTCTAATAGGATATCGATGTTCATTACTGTATTAGTAGCAAAGTAAAAAAAAATACGTGTTACGTTGAATAATTAAAATCCAATGGCATATACATCTTCCACATAAATCTTTTTTACCTTATATACCAGGAATTTCAACTATCTTAAGCTAATAATGTTCATATAAAGGATCAAAAATTAGTCAAATCCTGTTTTCAAAACTCTTACTGCTGACCTCTGATCTTCTCTCGAAGCATCGCATTATTCATGCATTTTCAATTATGAGTGAAATAAAAATAGAATTTCAGAGATCAAATTTGGCTTGCTTTACAGTTTATCAAAAAATATCCTTCGTTTCTTTATGAAATATATGTATATATCAACTAACATCAAGTTGTGGTGATTCATCAGGACACAAGCATGCGTAAGTATTTAGGGGTAATTCAGCACACAAATGACTGCATGACGCTTGCGAGCATGCTGATACAGTACGTGATGTGTCACGTGCGAAACGCTGATGTATGCGAATACTGTACGCATTTCGAATACCAGAAGCTAATACACTGACACGACCACGACCAAATTTATCCTACAATTATATTGGTTTTTCTTAATGATCCATTTTCACTGCCATTTTTGATATCGATGGACAGTGGTCAACAAAAACTACCTGTACAAATAAATCTTGACTTTCTTTGGAAGCCCAATAGAGATTGTTCTCGAATACATCGATTGTCCACGGCATTCGATTATCCACTATAACTGTTGTTCGTTTTGAACCTATAATTTAATCGTCAATATACATATATCATTGAATAATTGGCTCTGAAAACATACTAGCATGACATTAAAAAGTCTATTGACTTTTTGCAAATAAATAAATAAACAAATAAATAACTAAATAAATAATATTGTAAATAAATAAAGATATCTTCTAGTAAATCAATCGTTTCTAATATTATCAGCTGCACAATATAAAATTACTAACCATCTGGTAAAATTGATTCCACTTTGCGGTACTTCGGATCAGCCCAATATATTCGATTATCTTTACCTTCGTCAACAGTCAATGAAGTTGGTGAATAAATGAGTTCTTTTACAATCACCTGAAAAGACATATCAATTAAATATGATAAATTCAATTAAAGCAACAAATATAAGCCTAATGATTTTATTTGAAGACAATGTCCAATGATTTTATTTGCAGACAAATATTTAAAGTTAAATTGAAAATTTCTTCTTGATATGGTTGTAAAAATCATGATTACATTCGATTACTTAAAGAGAAGTATTATTTTAATTTTAAAGAAGACATACATCACGATGTTTTCCATCCATATCAGCGCATTCAATTTTTGCATCAAATCCGGCATCCGCAAAACATATTCGTCCGATTTGTGGCAATGTAATAATAGCAGTTGGAATATGAAGCCGTCCTTTAATTATAGTTCGCAAATAACGACCATCCGATTTCGCCATATAAATTGTACCACCACTACCTTTATTTCCTTCTTCTTCTTCTGTATGTCTTTTCTTTTTGGTTATAAATCCTGTACCTTCATCATTTGACACTGCTGCGAGATATATATTCCTGCAATATTTCGAATTAAATATATAATCCATTTTAAAAATTTTAAATATAGAATTTTTACCACATATTTCTTATAAAATGAAATTATTAAAGTGTAAGCAACTATGTATAAATATAATATCAAATAGAAAGGAAACAAAAAGCTTACCCTGTAAGATAATCAATGGAAAGTGCAATAGGTGAAGATTTCAAATCTATGAAATCAATATTAAGTTCTTGTCCAACATGTGATTGATTGCCTAGAATAATAAATTATTAAAAAATAAATAATATTTAAAGATACGACGTGAAAAAAAATTTTTTTCTCATTTACTGAAAATATTGTCCTCTGAAATGGAACACTGCTTACAAAAGAAAAGCAAATATGAGAAACAGAAAAACGTTAAATAATCAATAAACAAATATAATTTAATTTAAAGGTGATACCTTTGGGTAATGCGGATCGATAAACTTTACGTTGTTGACCGTCAATCCAGAACATTAATTCTTTACGTGGATCAAAGTCTATTGCAATAATATCATTTTGTTCAAGCGTACCAACCGCATGACGATTTGTTTCACCTGCATGCGCAAGATTTAATTGTACCACTTCTCCATCTGCGGCTATCATTATTAGCGGTGGTTCACCCTGAAAATTTCAATTCTATTTCATATTTTCAAACACTAATTATTCAATCATCAATTATACATTGGCTTCTTATTAAAAAATAAAAAATATTAAACCTTGGCACGGCAGTCTTTGCCAGTCATTGCTCCTACAACTACGTTGTTTTCGAAATCCTCAAGACAGCGACAAAGATATGATCCTTTGGTATTCAGACAACTCTAAAAATAAACTGCTTTTATCATGCACTTTCAGATATCTCATAATTTAGTGTAACTATTTTGATAAATTCAAAAATAACCATTACCTGAGTGCAAGTATTATTTCCTGCACATTCATTAATATCAATACAATCATAAGGATCGTCTGGATTTGGTTGAAATCCATCGCGACAATGACAGTAATAACCATCTTTGACATCTGTACACAAATGCTTACAATTTCCATTTTCATTGTTTGTTGCACACGAAATTCCTTTTCTTTTCGCTGCAATAATTTTCGATTAAAAATTAATATTTATTTTAAAAAAAAGCTAAATATCATAATCAGTAATTATTTATCAATTTTAGCTATGAACAATGATCCCGTTAGATACTTAAGACAGTTACATTCAAATTCAGATATTTTATTTAGAATAAAAATTATTTCAATTAAAAATAAACATTTTGTAATTAATCTGAAGTTTGAATCTTGATACAAGTACATTGAAATGAAAAGATCATATACAATCATCATCAGTGATTCAATTTAAGTATAACTTTCTTTGATCAAAATTTCCCTGAATCATGCTGTCATATATATTATCTTTTGCTTTGAAATATATCAATTTTACACTTACCACATCCAATTTCATCACTTGCATCGCCGCAATCATCGTTGTGATCACAAGCTAATGATGCATTGATGCATTTACCATTGGTACATTTGAACTGATTAGTAGTACAATCGCCATATTCAGAGAATGAGCTACACATGGACAAATGTTCATCTGAATGATCAAATGGTCCACAATCATTGATACCATTACATAACTGCAATAGATGTAAACAATAAATATATTACTATCGAACAAAAAAAAAAATGCCGTATAAATGAAGAAGAAATAAAAGTGTAACCTGTAAAATATTAAGACAAAGTCTGGAATGAGCACAACGAAAACGAAGTGGTGGATCACATAATGCACTCTTGCAATGTTCATTTGTTTCATCCGAATTATCACCACAATCATTATCACCATCGCAAATAAATTTACGTGGGATACACACCGAATTACTGCATTCAAATTCAAATGGACTACATTCACGACGATTCGGCTAAAATTAACACCAAAGATTAATGAAAAAAAAGATCAAAAGAATGGATAATTTTTGTGATTTATTAAAATTTTAGCAAGCACAGAAGTATTGTTTTCATAGAACATTCTTAACTAACTTATGTCAATGAAAGCCAAAAAAAATATGACAAACTATATGATGTGATAAATTGTGATAAATTGTAAGCGGAAGCCAAAAATGTGATAAAAAATGATGGCCTATCTATTGTATGTCAAAATGATCAATCATGGAATTTGCATGTCTATTGCATGTTTAGATGATTTTTCATCATGCAATTCGTTTCATCTATCAAATGATTACATTATCACTTGTTCATCCATTGAATCATTGTGACCTTTCTCTTCATGGTACAAAATTGTCTCCTGTATCAAATGTCCACCAAATACTGTCCAACAAGTGTATATGCAGTGTAACCTATTGGAGGTCATTCTCACCATCCATATTAATAATGAATCAGTCTTGTGTTTAACGCTCTTCTGCTACGCAATTACTTACTCATCAAAGTTACAACGCAATCAATTCCTTTCAATTTCCATCCAACTTAGAAAATGATTATTTCAATCTCATACTCAAGAAATCTTCGTCACTATAATTTGTTATATTCACTGTGAAATCTTCGTCACTATAGTTGTCACATTGATGATTATTGCTAATCTTCCACGAAGAATAAATTCTCACAATAATTTTGTCTATGAAACAAACAAAAATTACTCAATCAGAAATTTTTCATAACAGCTTACATGATTTTCGCAGTGTAATTCATCAGAGGCATTCGGGCAATCACGTCGACGATCGCACCAACGATGCTCAGGTATACAAGTACCATCATCGCATTTCACATATCCTGCATTACATTCACGTAATTTGCACTGTGATTCATCTATACCATCACTACACTGTACAGTACCATCGCAAACCTGTAATTTATTAATTCCTTTGATTATGCTCCAAAAAATATTCAACAAAAAAAGTTTCTCGCAATCTATTCACAAATCTATCACTTACGCTTACTTCACCTTTCCTTATAAATCATTACTTCGATAATAAGTTGAAAAGTATTCAACCTTATTTCCAGGAATACAACGACCATCACTGCATCGAAATTCAGATTCTGAGCATGGTCTTGATGTACCTCCACATGACGGATCCGTTTCATCGGAATCATCACCACAGTCATTTTCACTATCACACATCCATCTTCTGACAAAAAAAAGATTGTACATTATGATATTAAAAACATAAAAGACCGATTTTATTTGATGTTTCATTTAGCGCTATTCACTGTATATAATGAAATTAACATAATGATGCTAACTTTGGAATACATTTTCCAGATGTGGCACATCGAAATTCACCAACATCGTCACAAGCCGGACATCGGTCCAGAATTTCATCTGAATTATCACGGCAATCATCTTGTCCATTACAGAATGCCCAATTCGGTATGCATCTGAAAAAAGTATGATATTCAAACTCTAACAGACAGAATTCCGGTTATCACTGTTAAATTTTCTGCTATTCATTTCAGATGCATCATAAAAATGACCAATGAAAACTAACATTAACTAAACTTTAATAGTTTTGAATTTTTTTTCAACTGAAAAAAATATTGAATTCATATTTAAGTTCTTTTTTGTATTAATTTCTCTGTGAATAAATTAAGGAATAACCTATATGAAGTAGAACACCGAGTCCATCCTTTGCGACATTCGGTATTTATGCATTCTGATGGTTCATCTGAACCATCACCGCAATCATCATCGTTGTCACACTTCCACATCTTTGGTATACATTTGTGATTAGAGCAACGAAATTCTTCCGCAGTACAGTTTCGGTCTTTGTTTTCTTAAAATAACAAAATCAAAATCAAAAATGGAAAGAGGAATATAATGATAAGTATCATTGTTGCACATACTAAAAGTTGATAGAAAGGCTTCAGCAATATTTAACAACATAGCCTTCAACAGTAAGCATCAACAGTATAACCTCGTAACCTCGTTGCTCTTTGAAAGGATAGTATAACAAAGGTTAAAACCACACAAGATTCCATAAAATTCACCGTTACAATCATTAATTATGCAAGTTCCTATAATTTTTATGTTGATAATCAAGGAATAATAAAATGAAAACAAACTGCATATGACATCTGCTTCATCAGATCGGTCGCCACAATCATCGTCTCCATCACAAATGAACCGTTTGGGAATGCATTTACCAGTCGCCGCACATTTGAACATCCATGGATCACATGGTTTGTCACACTCTACCTAAAGGTAAAAAAAAGTTTAAATTAGAAAGTAATTTAATAAAAAACGTATTCGGAAATGAAAGGGTTTAAAAAACCAAAATTGTTCGATTGTGTTATATTTTATATAGTCACGAATACATTTTTTTTCTTTAAAAATACTTAGCATTTTTGATTTGAACTATTATAAATAGGAGTAAAGAGAAGAGAAAAAAGAGAAGATTCATTTACCTTCGTGCTTTTTAAGAGCATAGGATAATAAAGGTCAAAAAAGATAATTACCTCATCGGAGCCATCACCACAATCATCATTACCGTCGCAAAGTTGGAACGGTCGTGTACAATTATGATTATTGCATTGGAATTCGCCAACGGCACAAATTCTGGGTCCTGAAAAACATTCGATAAATGACAGGAAATCGATCCAAAAGTAAAATGTAAGAAGACAAGAATGAAAATTGCTTTGTATAAAAGATAATATGTTAGGAAAATAGCTACCGCAAATATTTTTTCCTGGCTCATCGCTACCATCACGACAGTCTGACTCTCCATCGCAGTACCACAATTTTGGAATACATTTAGCATCATCGCCACCACATGCAAATTGTCGATCAGTGCACTGAGGTTCACAAGTTTTATTATCAGCAAGAAGAAGAAATTGATCGGGGCAAGAACATGTAAAACCGGGATCATGTGCTGATAACAAACATAAATGAGAACATCCACCATTATCATCACCACATGGATTTTTATGTTCTGGTTGTCGGAATGGATGAATAACCTGAAAACAAATTTATGACAAAATATAATTAGATCCAAATTTGAAAAAAATATCTGCTAATTGTTAAAAAAAAGATTTTTTGATTTGTACGATATGAAGATGTAAGGATTTAAAATTGAACAAAAGAGTAATAACCCTAATGTCACTTGGCAATTGTGTCGTTATTTTCAGCACTGTTTCATTCATCCCAGTCCACTTATCTGCTCTAATAATTTCTCGTAAGTTCCAATCTGACCAGAATAAATGATCATCGAATACGGTCATCGATGAAATATGAGATGTGCGCTTTGCAGGAATATGATGTCTGGCACCGCCATTCAAATCCATGAAACCAATTTCATTTAAGTGCGCATCTGCCCAGAATAGCCTATAAAAAATTGTAAAGGAATGATAAACGGTAAGTGAATAAATAAAAAAAAAAGACTGAAGAAGAATCTTAAAGCAGTTGCGCTCAAAATGGTTATAATTCCAGCAATACAATTGATATCATATCACATCCTATCTTAATCATAAAAGTACCAATTAATATTACTGCCATTACAAACTTGACTTTTCCTAACATATATATAACTACAATGTTACTTACTTATCAGCAAAGAAATCAATAGCAAGCGCATTTGGCCAACCAAGATCATTTTCAGCAAGTTTTTCAATTGGATCAGTTAACTGTGGTGAGCCATCCAACGATACTCGACCAATATATGCTTGCAAACTCCATTCCGTAAAATAGAGATAGCCTTTTTCAGGATGTATTACTATTGCCTAAAATTGAATCAATGAGTATTATTCATTGCATGAATAAGCCAAAATTGTAAACAAAAACACAAAAAGTAAACAAATAAACCTTTGGTTGAGCAATACGATCACGAATAAGTGTTCTACAATAACGACCATCCAATTCACAAACGCGTAACGAACGTTCTTGTCGATTCAACATGTATAATTTGCGTCCAACCCAATCAATTGCAATACCTATAGTGGAAAAATGAAATTCATATTTCCTCTAACAATAACAGTAATACTAATTTATAGAATGCAACAATTGCTGAAAAAATTCAAGAAGACTAATATTCAATCACTTCGTAATATAATTCTTTTATAGCGTGATTTACAAAATTTCACTCTTTCATTTTGATGCATATGTAAGATAATCGTTCATTGTATTCAAGAATCAAATGAACATTTCATTCCTCTTAATTTTGTTTCTTTCCTATACGTATGTCCACTTTACACATATGTCCACTTCCATACACATACACTTAGGCAGTTCTTTCAAGAATATCAAAATAGATAACAAAACGTAAGCAAAGCTAACCTTCTGTACCAAAAACATTATGTCTCAGTACTACTTCATATGAGTCAATTGGTTGATCCAACTCTTCCATACCAACTCTGTAGAGTCTAAGTTTACCGGAATCCACAAGATATACCTAAAGTAATAAATGAACAAAAATATTGGTAATAAAATCTTTATGAATGAATTACAAACTGTTAAGAAGATAATTAGAAGCTAATTAAAAATATTAGATATTAAAAACCGACTAATTTAATCAGTACTATTTCCAACGAATTTTATATGAAAAGAAAAACTAGATAAGAAATCGTTTACAGAATTCGAATTCTTACTTTTCTTTCTTTCATATCAATATCCATCGATATAACATTTTCAAATCCTCGAGCTACTAATTCATAATTTACTCCATCCAAAGTAAGTTTCCGTACATAATGCTTATTTGCAAATAGTAACCATGGCTCAGGATCCTAAAAGACGAAATTATCAGTGAAATTTTTTATTCCAATAAAATTTCATCCCAAACCATCAGCCATTCTACTGTTTCTTCTTTCTTTTTTTTTAAAAAAAATATTTTACAAATTAAAAGAAAAAGAGGAATTTTAAAGACGTACTATATTAACTCGTTTACAGGTACGATCATCACTTAAAATAGCATATCCATCAACACACCAGCATTTATAAGTACCAATTTTATTTTCACATTTTTGACTACACCGACCAAGGCCAGCTGTAAATCAGAAAGCATATCTGATTGTAGAATACAACAAAACGTTGTCATTATTCAGCTACTTATAAAAATGAAATAGAGAAATGTGAGAATTTTTAAATTTAACTTGCTAATTAGTCATAGATGTTTTAAACAAATGAAGATCAGCTGTCAAAAAAATAGATAAAATTTCGTCGAATAATTTTGACATAAAATGTTGTGTCTGTCGTTGTTGTTAAAAAAATAATAATATCATAAAATAAAGAAATAAATGAACATTTAGTATTGTTTAAAATCTGTTCAAATAGTCATCAAATGTAAGAAAATAATGATGGATTAATAAATATTTACTTTCACACTCATCGATATCATGACATGATTTCTTATCATCCTCATCAAGAGCAAATCCTTCGAAACAATCACAACGATAATCAATTGGTAAATCAACGCATTTTTGCTCGCATAATGGTTTTTCCGCAACGGTACATTCATTAATAACTGCAGAAATTATTAATGGATTAATGAATTTATCTAAATAACAATTTCCAGAATTAAAAATAGCTTACAGCATTTTGACGATTCATCGGATCTATCCAAACAATCGTAGACTCGATCGCATACTTTCGTGGCCACAATACATTCTCCGTTATTACAACGAAACTGTCCCGTAGGACAAGTATTTATCGTTGGCGTTAAACCACCTTTATCAGCACATTCCTGAAAAATATTTTTTATTTAATAATTAACTGCCCAAATCAAAACAAAATTGATCAATCACTGAATTTATAATTGAATACAGTATAAATTTTTTTTCATAAACTGTACGTGTTATTACCTTCTCATCACTACCATCATCGCAATCATCATTCCCATCACATTTCCACGAACTAGGAATGCATTTGTTATTTGTGCATTGGAAAAATTCAGGTTGACATGTTGAATAAGCTATAATGAAATAATTTAAAGCATTAAATAAAAATGTTGAGAAGAAAACCTATATATATATGCACATATTAAAAAACAAAATCATAATAATACTTACTACAGTTGATATGCTCATCAGAACCATCCAGACAATCATTATCACCATCACATTCCCATGATGCATGAATACAGTGCTTGTTCGCACATCTGTTATGTTTAATTATAGAAATCATTTCATCTCAAAAATTTATTAAAATAGTAAAACTGAAGAATATCAAAATGATCAGAAATCTTTAGCATAAATTAAAATTAAAACAAACCTAAATTCGCCTTTGTTACACTCTTTCTTCTCCACTCCACATAATTCCTTACTTTCATCCTCTCCATTTGCGCATGTAACATCACCATCACAAAGCCATGTTTTTGGTATACATTCATATTTTGGTTGAATAAGATGAGCATTTGATTTGCAGTGAAATTCTTGATCAGTACATGTACGATTTCCTTTAATGAAATTAACACTTGATAATTAACATTTAAATTTTCTTATCATCTTCTACTGTCTTATTCATAATCAACTTACCACAATTATGAATGATACTTTCATCGCTTGCATCACCACAATCATCTTCACCATCACAAATAAATGCTCGACTGATACATTTCCCATTGCCACACTAAAAAATAAATCAATAAAAGTAATAATAAATTTCATCGGAGTGTGTTGAACTATTGAAATTCTTCTATATGATTTTATACATACCTGAAATAAGTACTCTCCTAAGCAAATTCGCTTTCCAGCAGAATCTGTACAATTCGTATGATTTTCATCCCAAGCGCCTTCACCACAATCATTATCACCGTCACACTGCCACGTTTCTGGTATACAACGACCGCTTGGGCAACGAACACTGGAATTTGCATTTATATTAAATTTTTTTCATGTCAATGATTAAGAATTAAATGACCGTATCATTAAATAACCTGTCAATCTGTTATTTATACATTTTAATATTAGAAGTTAAGAAGAAAGGCTAACCATCTCATAAAATTTAAACTAAATGCTATTTGAAAAAAAATGTTAGAAGATGGAAATCAAATTGAAAAGAAAAAATATTAAAAACATGATAAAATATCTTATCGTTATCAGTAAGGAAACATACTAATGCATAGCACATGATTGATTCATACAGAAAAGTTTATTTTCATCAGCTTTATCACCACAATCATCGTAACCATCACAGAGATCCGCTGGTTGAATACAAATATTTGTATTTGGACAACGTATTCGTACTCCACGACAATGGATAGGTAAATTTGGACATGTTTCTTTATTTTCATCGGATACTTTCTCATCATGGCAATCATTGTGACCATCACATATCTAAATATTTCATAAAGTAAGTAGTATTCTCATAAATAATTTTATTTTCTTACTACAAATATTTTGAATAAAATAATTTAATTTAAAAAGCGAGATAAATTTACACAAGAGAATGAAATAATTTAATTCAAAATACGAATTAGAGAATGAAATAATTCAATCCAAGTTCTCATAGGCAGCTTTTGCACAAGAATAATTAAGGCTTATATGATGTATATTCTAACAAAAAAAAAAAACTGCAATCAATTGAAATCCTAAAAGGCCTAGAAAAAAAGAAATGCCAATGTAAAGCATTTTCAATTAATGCATTCAAACAAGAAGA